AGCCATTCTGTGATCTTCCTAGTACCTTTCATGTGTGTTACAATTCACATTGTGAAAGGGATTAAACATCTAAAAGAGGATGTAAAGGCTGTTTAAAACCCAAATTAAACAAACAGTTGGATATGAATTTTAGTTTCAGAAAATGACAAATAAACAGACCAATAAATCACAGGCAGACTCAGTACTCAAATTAACATGTTAAATGAGGAGCAGGTGTGAGATCTGTATTCACTGGGAAATTACAATGACCCTGGAGTGGCTTAGATGTTGGAAGGAAACTGCTCTGTGGTTACTAGGCAACACACATATGCTATTGTGCAGTGATTGTATAGAAAAGGTGATGGAGGACTCTTCCTCTCCTCAGACTCAGCCTGTGTCCTCTGCTCTGTAGAATCTCATTATAAAGGACCATTTTTCTTTATAAACAAAATGGATGTACTTGTTAAAAAATGCAGGACAAAGAGCAACTCTTTTTCATGAGCTAATTTATTTCCATCACTAAGCGGGGGTGAGAGTGTGGGTGAGAAGACCTCAAAGAGTGAAGCTACCAAGAACTATTTCATCTGATGTTCCTGAATGACAAAATACCACTTTGCACTGACAACAATCATCCAACATTGCATGTTCTTGAGGCCCTCCTTTTTAGAAAGACTTCTCATTAGCTTTACTTAGAAAACAGTTTTGCACTCACAAAGCAGCATAAACAGGGAAATAGATACATACTCTTTTCCTGAAGTCAATTACACAGCCAAAGCATGATTTTCATTTTAAAGAGATGCAGTTGTAGGCAACATGGTAATTTCTTCTAAAACCTGCCTGTTATTCTACACTGGGCAAAAAGTAGCAATTCTCTGTGATACAGTCTTGTGAGCTATGCATACAACCATAAGCAACAGCAGTTTCATATATTTCCTCTGTACTGCACATGAAAATAGTTGGCTTAATTTTATCTAACATATTCAGAGACATGTTTGAAATGACCTGGCAACATGCAATGCTACTTGCTTTCATAATCAACTGCAATTTATTTTCCTTCAGGTAAATTAAATAGAAATGGTCATACCACATATCTGATTTGATACTGAAGCAGCTACTCTTTTAGCATGGCATAAAATGCTATGTTTTTAGTATCTTGAAAAATCCTGAAGGTCTTTTGCATTCTGCTGAATCCCTTCTGTGTTGCTGCTGCCTTCTCCTGCTATACTACACATATTCAGATGAGAACAAAGGGTCCTCAAAGGAAAGGAAGTGAGAATGACTTTTCGCATCAGTAAAATGTGTTTGGAAACAGAAAAGTAAACAATCAACAGTAAGGGTACTGTGACTCTTAAAAGCATTTCTAATATTTTTCTTTTCTTCCTTTGCTTGCTCATGGCTGGTGCTTGACTCACTCCCTGAAAAGCATCTTTTCACCCTCTTCCTTCAGGGGAAAGTCCCATCCAGTGCAGTGTCTAGTAGCACTGAGACTGATGCGAGGTTTGGTTGTTTATACCATTATCGTGGGCAGTAACAAAGTATACATCAATATGTGGGCTATATGCATCTTCTGCTTTATTAACTTCAAAGAAACAAGGGGGATGGACACTCACCTTTGGCTTGGCTCTTGGTTTCAGCTGTTCTAACTTCTTTGCTGCAGCCTCAATTGATGCTGCAGCCCCTAGTAGCTCTGTCTCTGCAATGACTGTTGGGTCTTCTGGATCCACCCACTCTGTCCCTGAAATTAATGGAGACGAAGACAATAACTTCAGTGCCGCTGTGAGCTGCCATTCAAACAAGGCGATTTACAATCACACTTCAAGTGTCAAATACAGAATGCACATCACAGAAAGCTGATTTTAGTACCATAGTGGCATAAAACCACTGTGGTTTAAGCCACTGAGAGCAAAATGTAAGTCAGGATGAAAAAAAGTATTTAGCAGGGTTATTCTGTTATGAAAGTAACTTAATTAAGAACTGTGTAAACAAAGCAGCTTCGAAAAGGAATACTGTCCATACTGGGAACAGAACTAGCTGTTACTCAACTTATGTGTATCAAAGCTTTTACTAAGATGGTTTCTAACTTGACCAAGTTGTAAGGTACATTGAGAAGTCTGACAGAATGGTAAAGAGAACGTGTTACAGACAACATATAATCATCCACAGCACGCTTTTCAGATTCTCACTTTTGGAAGCGGTTAGAGATGAAGCTAGTATTGACTAAAGAAAGCATGCTTTTGGCAATGTGTTTCTAACAGTAGTGTAGAGAAGGGCAAAGCAGTTTCTGTAACATAACCGAAGGTCAACCTCTTTTTTTTTGTTTTGAGTTTTTGGCATTTCTTTTGGCTCACAGAAATTTTGTAGATCCACAAAATAGTTGGCTGGAGGTGATCTCTGATTTTTGGAAGTTCTCAGTGCATTATTATTATCAATTTCTTAACAATATTCTTTGGATGACAAGATTGAGAAAGCATCCATGTGCTGGGTTGTGGGAAGCAATGAAACAGCCCAAAGGAAAAACAGATGGAGAGAGAAAGGAAACCAGAAAGAAAATGTCTAAGTTCATAACTACTAAGGGCAAGGGGAGGAAGTGGCGTCACAGATGGAAACAGAAAAGGGTGGGAAGCAATGTACACAGGCAAAGGAAAACTAAGTTAGAACGAAAAAAAACAAAGGAAAGCAAAAATCCCTTGAAGTCTTGTTAAACTTATTGAAACTGGATCAGAAAGCTTGGGTGAACCTAATATTAAAATATCAACTGAAACATTAATCGTTATTAAGGAAGAGCAGCTGGGGAGAAGGATACTGGCACTTTCCCTCAGGACTAGCATAACTCATGTCTGATTCATCAAACATCAAAGGAAATAACCTTGAATGCTTATGGATCAACATTGCACCAGCTAAAGAATGAGGCAGTTTCTGCTATGGATGACCAAATCACAGCAGAATACAAAATGACTCGCTGCTATTTATGATGTGCTGGGAGAAAGCTGACACACATGGTACTCTAATCCTAGTGAGCCACATTTCATGCTGCTAATCCCTATGTAGTACAGATATATGTATTTTATATCAAGTATCAAAACATTACCAAAGACAATTTCTCAGCTCAAATGGTGTACAAGATGAACGAATTCTATATTAAAGCCTAATATTGGCAGATAAGCAGGGAAAAAAAATTTTTGATACAGGCAGCACGTATAAACACAGTCAAAACCAAACTTGTAAAATGTAGCACTTCTTCTTCAAAAAAAAAGGCATTTCACAAAGGTTAAAACATTTACATGCTAAATTGGTTAGGAGACAGAGTTTTATCAAGTATCTATAAATGAAAATTAGGAATGAAAATTGAGAAGGGTTAAAAAACATACTACTTCCCACAAAAAAAATCTTCTAAAGTGAATAAAAAGAAAACCCTACAGGCAGCAAGTGAAAAAAGAAATAAAAAGCAAATTTTTATTTTAATGAATATGAATTAAAATGCAAAAAATACTGGAAATGAATAAATGTCTCCAAAGATGAGAAGAATAAAAAGATTTTTAAAAAGCATTTAGGGAACAGAAAAATTCTGATATTGGCTCGGCTTGTTAGCAAATGAAAATGGAAATTTTGGAACATAAGAAACAGTGCAGAAAAGGCTGAAGAATTCAATAAATTTACCTGAACAGGCAAAAAGCATAATTATGAAACAGAGTAGCTATATTAAGACATAGAGGGGAAAAAAAATTAAGAAAATGATAATGAATTCCCATATACAAAAAGTGTTTGGTCAGGATTCTTTTCCAAGGAATGCGTACTGATAAAAGCAGGAAATAACTGAGAAAAACCTGAAATGTATATTACACGGGATATCAGAAAAATGAGTATAGCGTTCTCTGGCCTAGCTTAGGAAAGAATGCTTGAACAAATACGAATTTACTAGAAGCCTTTGTTGGGGGTGTGTGTGGCACAGAATAAAATAAAAAGTTATTACAATGCTTTATTAAAAATATTTTACTGTAGCATTCTATTACCTGTGAGACTAGAATGCTCATTTGCCTTTCTGATGGCTGTGAAGATTTCTTTAGACTAAAATTCCCAGTAAATCTGGTAGTAGATGTGCTTCAGCAGTAGTGGTCTGATATGTAATAACACCACCCTTGATATGTATTCATCTCATTTAAAATGTAGAATGTTAGAAATGTCGTCCTAAGAGTTTGCATGTATCACTGGATAAAAATTTTACTAAGGAAGTCAGTAGGTGAGAAAGATATCACTTGTCTATGATAAGAACAGTGAACTTTTGCTAAGCAATGGAATTCATTGCTTATTTGAGTGCTGAGTTTATGTTTGTCTACAAGTTCTTCGATTCTAAGAGTTCAGGAAATCATCCAGACCAAAATTGTCTAAGTCTCATTGTTTCATTAACATACTTTGTTAGGGCAGGACCCAGGCAGGGGACAGTAAGCACTACAGACCTAAAGCTGACATCATTGCTAGAGGCTGAGTATTAATTCAGTAAGATGGTGGCATCCCCTTTTATTTGAAGTTGTAAAGCAACTATCACTACAAAGGAAAGGATTTATTTTGACTGAACAAACATGAGTATAAGGAAAGGAACCAGCCGTCCAATTACAATTCAGCCGCCAGTTCAAGAGGAGTGATACTGTATTTTGTTTTCTGCTGCTGTGGTTCTTGAGTGCTGTGCTTGATGGTTCCATCTTCAAAGGCCACGTGGTTTACAGATGACTTATGACCGATCACGTGAAGTGGGAGAGGGTCAAATAGACATGCTTACCAACACTGTGAACAAGTGAATACCAGCAGAGAAATTAAAAGAATGGAAGTAGGTAGTACCAAGACACCTAGAACATACTAGAAGGGTTTTTGTTAGTTTTTGGTTTTGTTTTAAACTCCAAAAATGACAGATCATTATCACCATCTGTGGAGTAAAAAGCACACCATACTGGTAGCCAGGCTGCCCAACTCACCCTTCATTGCTTCTGCTGATTGGATGAGCTCTGTAACAGCACCAGCAACCCGCTTGGAGAAAGAGGCCAACTGATGCTTTAGTTCTGGAGTTGGTTTTTGAAGGATCTAGAGAAAAAGATAAAATGCAATAATGCATATTAGTAAGGATTCCAGAGAAGGCTGGAACATTCCCAAGGCACGCTAGTGGCAGGTTTGTTTTATACCGCAATCGGCTGAGAGAAAACATAAGTCCAGTGAGAAAAACACAATTGTCAATGCATCAGTAGCAGCAAAGGCTTAGACTGCAACGTCTGATGCATACTAGAAAATGCACTGCCTTGCATTTCTACAGGAACTGACAATATTGTCTGGAAGCTCTCAGCAATAAAACTAGGACAGAAATCTCCAAAACAGAGGTGCATGTATGAGTATGTGGGAGGAATTTGTAGCTTTAGCACTCCATTCTCAGATACTGTAGTCATTGTACTTAAGCATCAGGCTTAGTCTTTCTGAACTGCTGGAGAGGAGTTGATTTTCTAGTATTAACAAACTGGTTGGTCACTATTTCTAAACAATAGAATTACAGAGTTCTGCAAGCTAGCACTATTTGCCTAGTTCTGGAAAAAATCATTGGGGAACACAATGGAAAGGCCAACCCTAGGCAAGATCCTTAAATAGAAGGGAAAGACAGACACCTCTGTTGTGGTTTAGCCCCATTTGCATCAAGTATTAAACTGTGCTTCTTCAAATGGAAAACAGTCAGACATTCAGACAATGAAGTTGAGTTCTTCCCCTGAACAGGAATAACATTTGCATTTTTAATTACCATATTGTAAGGAGAAAAAAGATTAAGTTCTGGAAATTCATGTATACTCAAAAACTACTTCTGAGTGTGACACATAGCGAGAGATATTTAAGAGCAAAACAGGAGATTGAGTCTCGAAAGTCACATTCAGGTGTGCATTTTCTTAATGTTTTTAAAAACTCCCCTGCAAAGCAGCTCTTAAAATTTTGTGCACATTGAAAATACATTTTATCCTTTTGTAAGCGTGTTTCCCATTTTGCAGTCAAATGCCTAAGCCCTTACTTTGACAGAATAAACTAAGCTGAATTGTTTTCTTAACTTTGCCTGGTGAGAATTCTGCCACGTGAAGAATCCTATCTCTCTGCAACTGCCATGTCAATGTATGGGTGGACTGGTGTCCTGCTTCCTAAGGATGATCTTTAGTCAACTAGTTTCCATAGTAAACAGAAGTACATGAACCCTCAAAAGCTAAACAATCTGCAATGTTAACAAAATGTAACAACGCAGTCATAAACCAAGGTTTATGCACTGCATAATCCCTTAGTATGGCAGAAATTGAGCATCTCAAGGTTTATCTTCCCACACAAGCAAAAATGTCCAAAAATACACGACTGTGGTCAGGACCAAAAAAATGGCATTTTCTGCTCCAGCAAGAAACAGTGACAGTAGTGCTACCTATGATAGCAGTGGGAATGTTGGAATTGAACAAATGGATGCAAATTTTAAAACTAGGTGGTTTACAAATTGCATTGTTTTAACGCCAATTTAGAACTCACAGCAGATTCTCATCCCCTGCAGTCATGTACAGGCATGGCATGAGAACAATAACAAAAGCTTCAGACTTCCCCTCAACTCAGCATGCATCAATACTGACAGAGATGGAGCATATGAATACGTAGGAGGGCAGGCCAGTCTTTAACCTGGCTAAGAATACAACCTACAAGTTGTTTTATATGAATTTGTGCATGCCCAACAGCTTTAATTAGTGTGTTCCTGCGCCCTACCCCTAGCTAGGTGATTAGAGGAATATTCCTTTGAGCAATCAAGTCAGTTTTATGCCACTTGCCCGGTGCAACCTCTGCACAATTCAATGCACTGGCTTAAGGAATCTTCGATATTGCATCTGACAACTCTTGCACCTAAAAAGTATAACCTTCAAAGAAATATGGCTGCTGAATAGTACGCCTTGGCATCCCTGCATTGAGACACACATGGAGGTCATCCCTAGCCTGACTACCAAGGGCATGATTGAACTTACTAACAGTTGTATCACAAGGTGCCAGGTGGACTAAGTAGAGATTTCTAATCTGAGATGATCTGTGTTTTCTGGAGGTTATACATTAAATGAAATTGTAGACCTAGGGGTTTTAAACTACCAGAGTAACAGGCATCAGGAGGCAACAGGATTGTCTGATGCTGAAACCATCTTGCTATCATTTTCTTTTATCTGAGCAAAAGAAATCTGAGCTAGGATGTTAAGTTAGCAAGATTGTGTATGGCAGGAGTTGCTCAGGCAACTCAGAGACTGTGTGTCTGCCACAACTCTCAAGAGTTGGAACTCAGGGGAAACAGGGCAAAAGTCCCTAGAGCAAAAAGTCTGCCATTTACTTGGTTCAATGCTCCTTCGAAAGTGATCTTTTTTTCATCATCTACTTTCCAGATCCTGTTTACATTTATGGAGCACAGCACGTGCTATTATGTGTGTACATGACTAGTTCTAGACAGACTTCAGCAAAGAGTGAAGATAAAGTTACCATTCCATACATCCTTTTTCCTTTTTTTTTTTTCCTGCAGGCATTCTGCTGTTCAATCGTGGTTGTAATCTGGGTCAGAGTCAGTTTTCTAAGGCAGCAAACATTGGGGGGGTGGGGTGGGAGAGTTGGAGGGGAACTTTCTCATGGCTTTAGGGCCCTGAAAGTAAAGAAGCTTAAGGTAAGAAAGGCCTGTTCTGCTGTATTGGAGGAACAGGCCTTTCTTACCTTAAGGCTCTTTACTTAAGCAGAGAGAGAAAAATAAAATGAGCAAAAATTGACTCACGTCTTCGTTCCGTTCTGGCATATAGTTTGAAACAAGTACTATGACAGAGTTCGGGAGACCAGATCTGAAAAATTCCCCAAAGTAGTTCTAAACTAGAAATGGATCACACATCTAATGCTAAATTACTTACTGCTATGCAGCTCTAGGAATTACATTAACAAGTTCAACTTTTGTTGAACTATTTTCCTTACTAGTGGCAAGCGTAACTGTTACGTATATTTTGACAAGTTGATGTAAATGATTAGACATGCTGTATTCTCAGCAGTAAAGCTGACTTGGATTTGCTAATCTGCAGTTGGTAGCTGCGAATTTCAGTTTTAAGAGACTTTAGTATGTCAGCTTAAAGCCACGTAAAAGAAATCTCTGGGCATCCATGAAGCTGACCGCTGATGTCACCTCCAATATCTTACAAATGTTAGTTCAAACACATATTATTGCTTCCTACAAATGTAAAAGCAACAGAAGAACAATATGCGATGTGATAATTAAGTACGGTCAAGAAAAGCCAATTGACAGCAGGATTCATGAGTTTTGATTTGAGTGGAGAATTTTTATGCAGAGCTTTGGAGGTGTTACGTCTGACATGAATTGGAAAGCTCTTTGTGAGGCAGTGCTGGCTTAGGGTTTTGGGATGTCATTGAGTAGGTGCCTCTTATTTTCCTGGCATAAGGACTGCAAAAGGCATGTAAAAGTGCTTTCATAAAGGTAACATAACCTCTTTGGTCTGGGGACAGGAGCGTGCCTAGTATGTCTAATGCTTATAGTGGGCTTAAAAGAATACTTAAGTGTCTTATTTTAATTTCTTTTTTGGGGACCATTTTTAGGTCAGGACCCATACTGCCTCCAGATCTGATCCAGAATTCAGTCCCGTTTAAGTACTTCCAGTCTTCCCTCTGTCTCGCAGTTTGAGCTGAAGTACTGAGCTTGCTTTTCCTGAATAACAAAACTGTTGATAATCTTGTGACAAACTGATAAAAATGTGTTACTAGCAGCCACTATAGAAAGAGGTCAGGGAGAATATTCTCCTTGGAAGGGATCCAGTATGTGCATGCAGATGACTCCTTACCAGGAGAACATGTTCCAGGAGTTCCAAGTATCCTAGGGTACATTCTGTTCCAAAGCGCAGGGCTCTCTCTCGAACGTCTTCGCTCACATCGGGGTGATATGATGCTTGCTGAGGAGGCAAAACAATGTTAGTACTCCAAAACTGCTCACGGAAGAGGAGGTCAGCACAGAGAAGACAGGGGAAAAAGAAGGGAAGAAATTTTTCATAACGTGCAAATGACATATAAGCTTGAGGGCCAGCTGTTTCTGTTGTAAAGGTGTAAGTAAACTGTGCTCAAAGAGCAGCAGAGTTCCAGTTCTGAGACTGGCATTGAGAACACTTTCCCTTTTATCAGCACATCCTCCTGTCTGGGTGTGCATCTGCAGTCTTTCTTAGTGTCCTGCTTTAGGTATTATAGTACTACTGCTTTCTGCCAGTCGTGAACAAATAGAGAAACCCTTGAAGAACCATCTGAAACTACAGAAGGATTTATGATTTCTTCTAATGCAAATATATCACTTGGAAAACACCTTGGGGCTGGAAGGGGCTCTTGGGTTGCGTATATACCGTTCTACGGTGCAAAGGTTATGCTACTGTGGCTCTTCTTTTTTACTAATACCAATGAAATTAAAAATTGTAAGTGTAGTTTTGCCATCTGCAAACGGCCATTTACATCTCACAGGTTAGAAATATACTTAAAACCATTTTTTTTATTGTAAGCCTGCACAGCCTACCATGAAGGAATGAAAGTAGAAATGGCCATGTGGTTTAGAGACCAAAGCACTGGGCTGGCCCCAGAAAACTTTGGTCCAATCAGAGGTCAACCACCAGCCCAGTGTGTGGGTCAAATGCGGGTCTCTCATTTTTCCTTCTCCATTCCTCAAGATAGAGATAATAGTTTGTTCCTTATAGAAGGCTTTGCAAACAGCAGGTGAAAAATGCTACAGAAGTGCCAGGATATCGTTATTCTATATGAGAGAGACAAAAACCAACCCACCCACCCAAAAGAAGCATTAGCTGCTTTTTGTTATCTGGTAACACATTGTAAGTAAAAGCTTATTAACGGTTGTAGCTTGACATAAAGATTTAACACAGCACAGGCAGTGCGGGAACCATCTGTTTAAATCCAGAGAAGCAGCATCAGCAGGGCCAGTTCTTTGACTTGTTAAGGATTTCAACTAAGTATAACGTCTGGCATCTGACACAAGCCTGAGTAATTCAACCATTTTATTTTTAATAAAAAGTGAAAACTGCAGCTTCTTCAAGCCTCTAAAGTAAACTTTTAGGGAACTTTTTTATTGAACGGAAGTGCTAGTTGTTGACAAGTGAAACTTCCTAAAAATCAGCATTGCCTCTCACAGAACAGCTCCTTCCACCCCTGCAGCCTCATATCTTCCACTGGGACGGGGGATTATCTCACTGCTCACTTATTTTGAGCCCTTCCCGCACCCCTCGACATCCCCAGAAAGCGCTGGTGTCAGCTGGGGCTGGAGCTGGTCTGTGGGCTCCCTCTGCCGGGAAGTTCAAGATCAGCAGAGCACGCAAACGGCTCCCATTAGCCACCACCATCTTGTCAACAAACAATCTGAAGCGAAAGGAGATAGGGAGGAAACATCATCGGATTCCCATCTTCAGCATACTTCAAACAAGCTCCAGAAGTCAAAAAAATGCAGAACAGCTTATTTTTCATTTTCAAATAGGGCAGAAGGATCCCCCAGTGTTTCACATGAATACATTGTAAGCATTCTAATATGCCTCTTCCGTATTATGGTTACACATGCAATTAGAGAAAACATCTGTAGGAGAGAAATACAAACTTCATTTTATGCTTTGAGTACATAGCGAGGACTGATATCAGAATATTTTGGGAGCATTTTTAAGGTTTGAGGAGTCTTAAAACAAACCATATACTTCAGAGCAGACTAAAGAGGTGATAAAGTCATTTTAGGAAGACATTTTTATAACACAGACACGTCCCAACAGAAATCTCACTACACCAGTTAGGACTCGCAACAGAAATGGTTACTTTTCCAGCCCTGCAAAGAAAGCCTTCGGCAAAGATGCCAAAGCATCTCAAACTGAAGCGTGTGTCCGAAGAACCAGAATACACATTTATTTCTTCTTGCGAAGGCTTCTCTTCACTATCAGCCCTCATTTTCTTTTCACGTGCTTTCAAAACAGTAAGGCAGCAAGCACTACTTGACTCTAGTACTACAACCTCTAGCCCGTCAGCACCGATGCATAACTTGTGGCAGTAAAAGGTACTGAGATAGCATCAAAAAATGGGTGCTGTTTGAAGGAACGTGGAGAATTCACATAGTCCAACCTCCTGCCTAAAGCTAGGTTAGCACTAAATTCAGACCAGATCACTTAGGTCTTTGGAAACCTCTAAAGATGGAGATTTCATGCCCTCTTTAGGCCCCCATCCCAATGCCTGATTATCCCCACAGTGGAGTAACTGGACATTCCTATGTTTCAATTTTTGACCATTGTGTTTTGTTCCCCTGCCGTGCACCTCAAGTAAATAGCCCAACAGGGTCTCCTCTTGGCAGTCTCCCGGTAGGTTTTAGAGATCCCCCTAAAGCCATCTCTTCTCCAGGCTGAACAGGCAGTTCTTCAGCGTCTCCTCACAGGGCCCGTGCTCCAGCCCCAACCATCTGGGTGGGTTCCGCTGAGCTTGCTCCAGTTTAATAAGTGCCTGCCTTCTTTTGGGGAGCCTGAAACTGGACACAGTATTCTAGATGCAGTCTAATGAGTGCTGAGAAAAGGTGAACAATCGTTTTCCTCAATCTACTGGCTATGTAACGATGTAAGTCATTACTCGCTTCAATTATTTTCTATGCTTTTGATGGACCTTTCGTACCTGTTTCCTTTCCAACAGCAATCACTAAAATCAGTGACCTTATGCACAGATTACTTACTGCATAGTAATTTTTTTATACAAATAGGTAATAAAGACAGAAATTGTTATTATCTTAGGGCCTTCTCTAACCTTCAGTAAATGTAATTACAGCGTTTCCAGTGACTTTAATGAGAGTTGCCTTGGTTCATTATATCCTGCAGTAATCAACCTCATTGTCTTTTGAAATGGCATCTACTTATAAGCGTAGAATTACTAACGAGCACTGTAAATTCATGTATAGCAGACCGAGCACAAGCATATATATAACTGCTAGTAAGTCAAATCCCATATACTACTTACCTTAGGCAGCTGACAGTGAAATAGAACTGAAAAGTAAATTCCTGACACCAGGGAAGTCTGAGCTATGTTCTATACAATTCTACCATAGATCATATACACGCACTTTTGTCTTAGCCCAAAGGACATCAAAATCTGATTACTTGTCAGTGCTTATTGTACGGACTAACTTAATGACACCGGAAACCTCTCCAGTGCTTGTCAACTATCACAAAAACCAAGGCCCACTGCATTGCACAGCTTTTACGGCATAGTGAGGCCAAGACTGCTGGTTCCTAACCCTAAAATTCAAGGGATGTGGCTTATCATGGGAATGCCGTGTACAGTAATCAATTTGCAGAAATTAATGGCATAAGATTTCTAAGTCTCTGAGCAAAATTTGTCAAAACAGGATTTTCTAAATAAAGTCTGGTACCAGCTGCGTATTTAAAAGCTTTGTTAAATGGCATGGCTATTTTGTCATACCTTTTAGATAGCACATAAAATTAGTATACCTGGAAGCTTGTATTCCTGTTTGCCCAATAACAGCTCTCGATTTTAGGAAAGCTAGACAGGATAGAACTAATCTTACTCCTTGTCAGTGTATCACTACAGGTAAGTAAAATGACTCCCAGCCATTTTCCTTCCGTAGATTGCTCTCTTTGTGAAGGTAATTCCCTGGGAGATCACGAATGCTTTCCAGCATCCCAGACCTCCATCGTTCAGTTTGCAGGATGTTTCATCCTGTCGGTCACTCACAACGCATGAACTTCGAAACCATTAGCTTAACTAGGAGCAAATGTAAACATAAGAAGATGAATGTTCATGATTAAATGTTCAGAATTACATATCAGGCTGTATATTGTGTATGTGAATGTGTTTATAACGTTTCTGGAAACAGAGAATTCTGTTCCTGAGCATTTGCTGCCTATTAACACGGAGAGTTCTAAACAAAAATGTGTCTGCACTAGGCGCTGACAAATGGCAAAGGATGTTTAGCGTGCCCCAGCATCCGAGTTGATGCCTGAATCGATTTGTCAGAATGTTGCACAGCTATGAACTGTTTTTAGCTTCCCTTAGAAATTTCAATTAACTGGATTATACCTAAGACATATTAGGCTGCGGTGGTTTTCATGTAAATAGCACAGTTGTTTAATTTTCCCATGCAAATTAAAGCTGCTTTGTTTTGTTGACCTTCTGAGTTTATGAAGCGGAGAGGACAGAATCAAAATTTGAAACACGCAAAGTGGTCAAAAACTGACAGACACTAAAAACCCGTCAGAAAATGAAGTCAAAATAAAAAGTTTCATTCAATGGTTTTGTATAAATCCAGTTCTACGTTATATTAGAACGTGGTCTTTTTTATGAGGATCATTTTAAAAAGAAAATTAACCCTTCCACCTGGGCAGTACTAGGCGAAAAATTAATGTGGCGCTGACGCAGGCAGTTCGGATTTGACCACATACTGAAAATCAGACGCCTCACAAGAGCATGATTATTTTACCATTATCTTCCATACACGTAAAGGCAAAAGTAAATGAACATAATTTACACGCAAAGGCACTTTTGTGTTACTATCGAAGATGAAAAGGAATGAGATCTTTATAATCCCGTTTTTAAAAATTTATACCTAGATCTTTTTTATCATTGGAACATAGCCAAATGGCTTAATAGCCATTTCCATGACACATACTTTTGCCCCAGTTTTGCAGGTCAGTTTTTGAAAGTCGTCTAGCTCAAGCAAGTGTAGAAAACAGGGTACTAATATTTTTAGTGCAAAAGCAAAATACATTTTTGAAAAGCACAGAAGAAATTGAGCAAACCGACAGGTTTGGCTAGGGGGAAAAGGACTACTAAAAATAGGCCCTAGTTATTCCTTTCACTGTCCCTAGAAATACTGAAATCATATTTGATATTTTAGGATTATTTGTATATTCTACTAATTGGCAGAGATTGTTTGTCTTCCAGTTTAATAGGAGACTGAAAACTAGGAAATTCCAGCTCAAATAAAACTTCTCATTTTCAGAAAAAAACAATGCCAGTCAATATTAGTGCTGCTTCTTTTCTTGTGCATAGCACAGAAAATCCCTTCCAAGAAAAATGTTCCATTAAAATGATCATAACCATTAACTTTCTCATCTGAAAAGTACAGCATTAATACACAGAAAGTGAACACAAACTATAACATTCAAGGGATTTAGAGTCACACACACAGACAAAAACAAACTCTGTCTTAGGCAAGGAATTGAATCTTTACCTTACAAGCTGTTAGCATGTCAGCTACTGCTTTGCGGCTCAGATTTGCTGTAGCAATCACATCCTCCTGTCGGCATGAGTTCCCAGCTGCAACAGCTTTGGCAGTCGCCATGGTGATTCCTTTCGTCATCCGGATTGACTCTTCAGGTGATGATGTCTTTTCTGGAACCTCACTTGACTGAAACACCTAAAAGTGAAAGCAGAAGGAAAGCCTGATACCATTCAAATCCAAGCAGAACAACCATGAGAAAGAGACAGCAACTGGAAGCAGCCTTCGAACAGCAGGAAATTAGAAACATATTCAGAGTAGTTGAATATCATTCTTGCTTGTCACGAGCCTAGTCCTGATAAGCCTGCTCACCTACAGACAGCTGAGAGAAACAAACAGCTGAGGGAAGCATACTAAAAAACATTAAGCCGTTCATTTCATCTGCCATTTAACTACCTTGGATGGCTGTTACAGACAGCTGTTCAGAGTGTTACGGGATCAAAAAAATTGCTATCCCTTTAATTATATTATTTTTTCATCCTGACTGCTGCTTAGGCTGGTCTAGTCACACGAGGAGATCCTTCCCCTGCAAAGGCTGGGCTTTACCAAGCCCTTGCGGATAGCACAGCGCAAGACCGACAACGTTACTAAAATATTCAAATGTCTCTTAAAAAAGTGGAGGTGGAGCGTTGTCTCTGACGCTCTACTTAGTCTCCCTTAGAAACCTAAAGATATAAATCTGCAGGGTGATTCTGTGAAAATAGTGCAAATTATCTGACAGTATACACTCCTCTCGTGAATACTGGAATACATGAACTGTGGTAAGATGCAGGTAATAAGAGCTGGGTAACCTTACTTTTATCTTGTCTTTCCTTTTCCCAAGATTTAGTCTGTATTTGCTTGCCATTCTTTTAACGTGCAGGGGCAATTGGGAGCGCACAATTAATCGGGAGAGTTGTTGTCTTGACTACACACAGTGCAACATAAGAAGGCTAGTGGTTACAGGATGCAAATGTCTGGACAAAAATGAACCTGGTCTATCCCATATTCCTGGTTGATCAGTTTTTTACTTTCTCTCTCCAGAAATGGAAGCGATGTTAAAAAATGAAGTCTAGTTAAATACGTGAAGGACCTCCCTCAACGTTGCTGAGATTCGGTCCCTGGAGTTCCAAGTCAAGCCTGATGCATTTTCTTGAGCACATATGTGCCATCCTCAGTTCCTGTTGACCCTCTCCTAGTACTCCACTTTTCTCCCCATGAAAGAGATGACACCACCACTACCACAGACCCATTCCTTAGCAATGTTGACAAAAGGAAAAGGAAGAGGACGAACATTTCAAAGAGATACCAACCAAATTGAGAAAGCAGATGCGATAATGCACAATCCTTCAACAAAAAACCTCGACAGGTTTTAGATCAGAGTTACGGGAAGGAATGTAGCTTAGCCAGGCCTTCAGGAGGATACACGACGGTAACGTGCACTAGATATTGTACAGAACATTCCCGATCAGGTACTGAATCAGGAGTTTTTACCACTGCAGACACTATATGAATTCCCAACAACTATACAGAGGTATTAAAAAAAAAAAAATTAAATAAAAAAGAGTTATTTCTTCATTACAACAGAAGTGCTCACACAATGAAAAATGGGTGTTTTATGGAGAGCACTTGACAAAACTGTGCCAGTGCAGTTACACTGTAAGATTTGCTAATCAGCAGACTATACAACAAAATATATTCTGCTGAAGACTGTGTCCATAGGTTTTTTATAAAAATGGACTGTAAGTGAAGGAAGAAAAAAAAATCAGGCTTCTTCACAAACACGCAGGTATTAATTTATGTCACTGAATAGTGTACTAGCAAAAAAAATAACTGAAAGCTGCAGCTGGAGGCTGAACTTTTATATCTTAAAGAGGAAGGAAAACAATTGTCATGGTCTAACACCTAATCCGGCAGAGAATTCCACGCTATTGTTAATTCCTGCTCAGAGAGAATATCAGATAGCAGGCTGTGTATCACTGGTAGTATCATTTCAATATTAAAGCAAAAACAGAAACACGATGAAACTGCAGGTGCAATACGGCTATGATGCTGAGGAGACATTAGCAAAGCCAGGATCAAAAAACAAGTGAAGAGCACCGAACTCAGAAAAGAATATCCATAGCGAAAGCTTTAACGTCTAAAGAACAAAGAAGCAGTTGCTTCCAGATTCGTACTTGACGGTAGGGTAGCATCTCGAATCTCAAAATGAGGACCAGTAACGTCTGAAAGAAGGTAGGCTAAAGCGGTGTCATAACTGTACTTTCACAGATAATTTGCAACAGGTGGAGAAGAATTGCATCCAAGGCACTGCAAGGGAGTAAAGCATAGATTGACGAGGAGTGCCTGGGCAGGCTGGTTTGAGTGTAAGAGCATACTTTCAAAAACTGCCACGTATGGCTATTTTGTTCTGTACCGTGAGTTCCTGTTTGATGCACTCAATTGTGGCCTCAAGAGCTCTTGTCCCTCGAGTAGCTTCATCTTCTACAGCTTTAACGGTCTTCAAAAGCGATGTGACATTTGTTACCATCACCTGAAGAAGAGAGAAGTGAAGACAAAAATACATGATTCCTTCCTCCTATTTTTCAGAGACAGCAGGGTATGAAGCAAGGCAAATTAAGCTAGGTAGCATTGTTACTTCCAGTAGGGCCTAAGAGGCTTCCTGAACGGTACTTGTTAAGGGACCAAATGCCAACTCTCCTGCTGGCCAGTTTCTGACAGCTCCGTGTAAGTTGCAGAATTGTAGCACAACTAACTGCAGAGCGATATTGTCTTAAATACGAGTGTTGTGGCAAAACTTTTACCAAAAAATGGAGAATTCACAACATTTCCAGGGTAGGTCTCTTATACAGATTGATTATGTTAGCATCTTTTCTTTTGGCGCATCTTATGCTGCAAGTTGAAAGAGATGTGAATCGAGGTACGGTATTTCTTTTTGAAATTTACCCAGTACATTCTCTGCAATCGGGTAAAACCCCAGGTTAGCAAGCAGCCAAACACTAGCCTCAAGCCCACATGCAGATATAGAATCTGTGTCACCGTTCCCGTTACAAAGCCAATCGTCCTGATGCAGAATAACCTAATCGTCACTGTAATAGTTACACCTTTCCTATAGCCTGCTATGTTGAGATACAAACAGTAGCTACAATGAAAAAAGAAGAGACAGGAAGTCCAGCTTCTTGACAGTTACAACTTTAGACACAGAGAGCTCTTCACTGCAGGAAGAGCCAAGAAGCCACATTTCTTGACTAGATGGGTCATTTTCAAGTAGTGCCTCAACGGTATACTCTTACCATGTGCTCTGAAAGGAAGAGAGGCACAAGTCTTACAGGTAAGCAACAGACATGAGAGCAAGAAGAGCTTCCAGCCGAGCCAGAAGCTACCACAACGCTCACATAATGTGAAAGCAGAAGTAATGCCGCCTAAATATCTGGAAATAGTTTGTAGACGTGAAGCCACAAGGCCTTTGTGAGGCAAATGTCATAATACGTGTCAGGTGCAGGGAAAATAAAGCACAAAGATATCGCAAGTATGGTGTAATCTGTGCGAGTTTTCAGCTCTGATGCCTGTATACTTTCTGGAAAGTACTGAGAGAGAGAGGGGTCAGCAATGCACAATATCCTGTTGTAGAGTTATTGGAGGGTTTTTTTTCCCTCCTCCCCCTTCTCCCCCCGTTTCCCAAGCTGCAGGGTCTAAATAAAGAGGCCGCATGCTTATCCTGAGCATACGTCATGGTTCAGAACGTAGTACTTAGGTACCATTTTATACTGGATAAATTGTAGTCTATGACATTATTAAAGGAGAACCTGCCCTCAGATATGGGCTTGCAAAAGAAGGAAGTTTCTTTTCAGAAAGATTGCAGTTCTTTCATCAAAACCACAAAATAACCTGACAGCCTACAAAAATTGAAACTTCATGGAAACTCAAGAGTGTCGTCTTACCTGTATCCCAGGATGATAATGAAACAAAGAAAGAAATGAGATTTCAGGCAATCTGGAATTGCTGAAATGCAAGCTTCGCAAGTCTATCAAGCGTGATCGCACAGATACTTGGAAATAAAACGTAAGAGTAAGGTTTTACCTTGGCAGCACCTTTCAGCTGGTACATGGATGGATCATCTGCTGGTTTGCTGGCAGCTCCTTTGGTAGCACCAATGAGATCAGAAAGGGCCTTTGCAACATCCTTGATAGCATTGATCAGGACAACCTACGGGAATGACAAATAGCCATAAGCCTCAGGCAAAAAAATGGTAGCCTGGATGAGGGTGTGATTTTTAGAACACCGCTAAAAAACCCCAAACAATCTACTACTGGTACACAGTTAGTACCACCCTCCCTCTGCCCCAGTAAAACATGTAATATTCCGGAAGCAGAAGAGCTGTGCTGATAGCTACCGTATTACCTACAACCAGTCAGAATTTAACAAATGACTACTTCCTGTGAAGAAATTGAAATGCTGATTGCAGCTAGGACTTCCTTCTTCTGAGCTTCCCTAAGAGGAGGTTTACTTTTCTCCACGTTCTTCACCGTTTGGGTGGAAGTGGGCCAAGAGCTAGAAAACAGATTGATTATAAGCTTACAGTCTAATGCTACAGCTACGTACCAAATGTACTCCCTATGCCAGGTGTTAGAGGGAGATGTTCTTTCAGGGAGAAGAAAGTTGAACCTCTGTAAGAGGTTTATACAGAATTAAATGCTGAATAACTTGGTTGTCCTTAAAGTCAGGAAAAGTCAAATCTGGAGATATTCTCTCCTAAACCCAAGCTCAAAGAGAGAAGTCCTAGACAAAATATAGGTATTACGACAAACTCGTTACTTATTTTAGGGTATTATTGGAATAATCCTCTCCTCCAAATCCTTCTCCTTTGCCCTTTCCACTAGTAGAAAATCAGAAGCTTTAAGTATTTTGCTGGAATTCCAAAGAGTTCATTTTAAGGAAAATGTTGGAAGACGCATGAAAAATGAGAGCTCAGGGGAAAAAAATAACGCGTGGAGCAATCACTTCTCAATAACTGCATTTCTGTAGCATTATATATAATAAGAAAACAGCCTCATTCCTTTGTGTTTGTAGTTCACTGTAACTTGTACAGAAGTGAAATCTTCCCTTTTCCTGGAAAGTTTATTTAGCTTTTGGTAGCACAGAAGCTCCTTGACGATGGAAATAGAAAAGAGCCTGAGACACAGGACGGACTGATGCAATTCTCTGTTGTCCAACAGTCCTACGTCGTGCGGCAACTTGCAGCGTAAGACGTCTGAAACTCTATTGCACTGGGTAGAGTAAGCGTTGCTGCTATGGAAAAATGTTGTGAGAGTATTGTTTGCTAGAGCTATTAGAAATGCTCCATTTAGGACACAGGATGCACCTACAGTTTCAAACTGGCAATATAAAATTGCTCCAAATAAATAATAATTACTTGTGCATAATAGCTTTTATTCTAAGTACCGTCTTCTCGGCTTTTGCATTTAGGGAAAAACAAAGCGTGATAAATGTTTTGCAAATGTTGCTAGTTTATGGAAATCCTTCTGTTAAAAAAAGGAAAAAAAAAAAGAAAAAAAGAAAAAAAACGTGCTTCCAGTAGTATTTTCCTAGATGGGAACATCTTGGAAGTTTAGTCTGTCATACAGGTCAAGCAAAACAGAACACACATCGCTTTCAGAGCATTAAACAAACAAGCAGGCTCTTTCAAACTGATTTGGTGCCATCACAGGCGCATCTGCAATATGCTTGCCAACCTCCATTCACCGAGATCCAAACAAAAAACCTAAGAAATATTTGAGATAATGTATACCAAAGGCTGAAGTTACGAAGGTAGCTGAAAAACACCTCAGACATAGCTAAGAATGGCACGGGCTTGTTAGCCTACCCAATTAACATAGAGCTCAGCCCAGTCGTAAGCTGGTTAAGTAGCTTTAAAGTCATGCAAGCTCTTTAGAACAAAAACGGGATGAGTCAGGGGTTCAATCACAACTTAGTAAAAACGAGACAAGTACTTTGCCAAAACATCCCAGCTGGAACACACCCATGAAATAAAAGAAAAGCGTTATACGAAGGCCCGTCTAGTTCCACTCGATGCTTTAACGTCTTGATTGTATTCCAAAAAAGTGATGTCTGAATAAACCCAGAAAAGTCCCAGAAGAGCTGAACCGTATTGTGTTACAGAAGTCCCACAAAATTTTATCAGTTGAAAACTGCCTCTGGTGTCTTTAAGAGTATCTGAAAAATCTTAAAACATCTTACCTGTGTTTCGGGATCATCGGATCCCAAGCTAGCCGCTCCCAATTTTACTACCTCAGCAAGTTGAGTGATGGTGTTAGCTGATGACTGAGCTGCTTGGGCCAGTTTGTCCTGACTCGAGGCAGCACCAGAAACCAACAATTTTGTATCTTCAACTAAAGCTTTTGCTGTTTTCAGGATATTTTCCCTGTAGCAAAAAAAAAGAGGAAGCAGGGAAGGCAGTGGAAATGGAGAAGAGGGAAAAAACCCGTGGTTTTCAACGTTACGGTGACTAACAGCTACATAAAAGAGCTGATGTAAGTCATTATGCCAGCGCCCACTCATGATAATACACCGCAGGCTAGGAAGTGGGGGGTGGGGGGAAGACAACTATTAAAACAGTAGCATTATATTTTGGGCCAGATGCAAGACAGCTTATTAAAATGACCCCATCTTGAAAAGAAATGAGGTAGGGCAGTAGCAGAAAAGAGCATTGCATTTTAACACCGAACGAAAATCCGGCCACGCTGTGAGGAAAATAACAGCTGTCAAACCTCCATCTTAATCAGCATATTGTAAGGAAGCTAAAATAATTATTTGCGAGGAAGGCGGTAGCAAGAATGGCAAAAGGAATAGAGGATGTGACCTAGTCATGGTTCCCCCCCACCATGTACATGTTTTGACATGTCAGGACAACAAATCTAAAGCGACATTTGGGTAAAAGAAGAAACCACTGTCGTATGTACTTCAGAAACGAGTCAAGTTAACTGAGAACTAGAACTATATTCATGTAAAATGTCAGCCTGGAAATTAATGAGACCTGTATGAAAATCCCTGACTTTCAGTCTGCAGAATGGCAGCAACTTACACACCATTGCATCTTTCCTCTTTCTGGAGCAACTGGCAAGGCGGGAAACAAACGTCGGCCACGCAATTGTCGCGTAGGCCAACTAGGCTGCGAAGCAGTAAGTCAGTGTCTCGGCTGTGAAGCCCTGGGTTTTACCGCAAAGGAAGTAACGGTCAGCTGCAAATCTCTTAACATGACAACAAATGTTGTGGGATCATTTTCTTGCAGATGCTAGTTGAAAAACGGGCTTAGGTCTGCCAAAGGGGTAAACGTGTGGCATAGCTGTGCCGTTTCCGTCACTGCTGTCCACAACAGCATTAACCATAAGCACGATTTAGCAAGACAAACAGCCAGACAGTCAAGAACAGATGTTGGAATAAAGTATATAGAAGATTCCTCTTCAATGTGACGGACAGCTAATTTTTGCTACTGGAATAACAGCGCATGGTAGTCTACGCAATGAGACGGCTTGGATAAAAACAACAACAACAACAACAAAGCGAAAATAGCGCTACGGTTGTGGTCTTCTGTTGGAATTGCTCTCGGCAGATGTTCCCCGGCTTTTAAAAACTCTTTCCTTACAGAAATAACCAAAGTGAAGTTTGCTGTCCTCCACCAATATCCCAATTTTCCTATTTCTCCTCTCACTCCACCGCCGCATTCCATTTCTTTCATGGGAACGTAGAAAGGCAAAAAATTATCTCCGCACGCCGATCACTTCTGCCAGTTCCACTGTTCCCCTGTGCACGTGCTCCTCCATCTTTTTCAATTACACTGACCTGTGGTCTGCAAACGATTCGTTGTTCTCGGCATTAAGGGTTCCAGCAGTAGCAAACATGATAGTGGTGTCTAGATCTGCAATTATGCCAGACACGGCACTAGCTGCAGTAATACAGGCTTGCGTGCCTTTGTTTCCTGCTTGAAGGGCAGATAAAACTAAGGAGACCTGGAAAAAACATAAAGCAACAAGGTGGTCATAGAAAGAAAGCCTCATTATGGGACGTTAAGTGAGCTCTTTAACGTGACTGGCATCAACAATCGAAATTCATTCTGCAGTGTCATTTTGCAAACTTTAATAATACCTCTCCTTCTGCTTTCCCTTATTTGCTTTCTTTGTGCAGTAGTCATTACGATGGCTAAAGATCGTCTCAAAGTAAAGAGGACTTCAGCTAGGAAGTCCACTTCTCAGGCAGAACGAAGCCATCCGTTCGTCACGGGATGAAGCACATCAGTTGAAACTTCCTTGAAATACAGCAAACTTCTGCCAGGATAAATGTCAGAGCCAAGAGCTACGGCTTTTTCCCCTAACACACGCAAAATAACCACCGGCCTCAAGCACCCCAAGAGTCATGTAGACTACACCGATGTAAACTTTAACATCAGAGGAACAGAAAGTATAGACTGCCTGAATTCAGACACTAAATACTGTTATATTTATAGAAAAGTATAGAGAGACAATATATGGCTTCATATCTAGCAACATTTTTGATGACAAAAAAAGCTAGAGATCTCCACTTAATCTAATGAACATCGTACTCAAAGCTCCGCAGCCGGGATGCTGTTGTCCTGCCATACTACAGTCCTAAGCTCTGCTTTTGCAGGAAAGGATCCACATCTGGGAATGTGTATACTGACTTCTAATAGTACAGTTCCTCCTGAAGTTCTGTTCAGATTCAAAATTGTCCCCAAATAGATTGTCCCTGTGATTCATTATTAGTCTCCTTATCAGCTTTAACTCTTTTTACAAGATACCGTCTACCCCTGCCTAAATTTGGATTGCCGATACTCCTGGGGCATGACACGCTGGCAAATTTGTACAGCTGAGAGCACACTAACACAGGCTGAACAAGCGATGTTTGGTGAAATCTAAAAGTAACTGACATTTGATTCTCAGTGTTTGTGTCCAACAAAAGGAGAGAGGCCATGAAAAACGTTCAGCAAAGCTGAGCCACCCAGGCCATCTGTTTGAAGTGGATGTTTCCAAAGACCAAGAAACCCCAGACAGTTTGCGGATGCAATTTTAAGCGCGTTAGCTTGGCCCAGTCTTAAAAGGGGAGGGCCTGTATCAGAAATAGCGTGGCCAGCAGGAGTAGGGAAGCAATTGTGCCCCTGTACTCGGCACTGGTGAGGCCGCACCTCAAATACTGTGTTCAGTTTTGGGCCCCTCACTACAAGAAAGACATCGAGTTGCTGGAGCGTGTCCAAAGGAGGGCAACAAAGCTGGTGAGGGGTGAAAGAGAAAGACAAAATGTGTAGATGTGGCACTTTGAGACACGGTTTGGTGAGCACGGTGGTGTCGGGCTGTCGGTTGGACTCGGTGATCTTAAAGGTCTTTTTCAACCTTGATGACGTTGTGATTCTGTGAGACGTCGCTCCATGAAATCACATGTCATTGAGCAACCTCATCTCGGCAACTGAGGCCATCCACATGGATTTATTATTTCCAAGGGAGCGCCTCATAAGGCACAAGTGCTAGCTCATGTCTTAGGGATTAGTTCTGGACCAGTCTCCCTCTGGCACGAGGCTGAAGTTTTATTATGAGACATGGGCAAGGGCTAATCATGGGCTAATCTAGCACATGAACTGCATCGAATGCTTGAAAGTAAAGTAAGAACTTGGTGTAATTCAGCCAATATTGTACTATCATAGAAAGTTTAAAAAAATAAAATTTCCTGAACCCAAAGCGTTTGACTGGTTTACTCCCCAGGGAAGCTCGGTAGACAATCACCATGAGGCAAGATAGAGGGATGTCTTACCTTTTCCGTGACAGCACGAGCACATTCTATCAACTCCCTTTTCGTGTAGCTGTCTGTAGGGCAAATCTGGAGAGCTCCAGCTTTTTGCACAAGAAAGATACAGCCGTGGCCAAGTTCTTGCACCCGAGTCCTGATCTGGAACCCTATCTAGATGGTAGTGGAGGTACAGGGAAAAGAGGAAGCAAGAGCAAAGTGAATAAATAAATGTCATGCCAGTACATTGTGTCAACACAAATGGAAACACGGTCACTCTGGTGAATCTTTATTACTGATAATCGGCCCATTGCTACACTCTCTGCAGAGATCAGACAAAAAGGAGAGATGTAATACCACGTGCTCCTGTAGCACAACCCTATAAAAGGCTTACTGATGAAACAGGAGCACTAGAGAACCGGGCCCCGGAAAAGCGAAGGCGTAAGGCGTGTACACAAGTCAAGCACACGTAATTCAAGCACGCACAACTTCACCGCATTCGAGTAACACGAGCTCATCTCCCAGAACTGTACTGTCGGTGTGAGCTGTATTCGAGGTATGTACGATGGGTAAAAAAGTACACATTTACTCTACGCTGCTGAAACTGGGTAAAAAAGTATATGTCTCTCTTTCTTTGGTTTTGAATCTTGCACAGAGTCTCAACTCTCTAGCACTGACCACGTACACGTGGAGCACTGAAACGTGGCAAGTCCTGCCCTCAGCACTTCCAATTTATTACTAGTCCTACAGCGTAAGCTGCTCGGTCCCCGTTTAGAAACACGTGATAGTTTTAATACCTGCATGTACTTTGGCATACAGGTGTGTATTGGGATTAATAAGTAAGCAGGAATCACGTCATTAGCGTCACAAATGGAATTATTTCAACTTCAGGCAGAAAGTAACGTGCAGAAACGGTAATGGAATTTAACAATAGCGAGCCAAATGCAAGCCGCTGCTTTTCACGTAGCTACCAAGAACGAAACACTCAAGTAGTCTGTCAGTGGTGGAACGTAATTATAAAGCCAAAACCTCACTGAAGGTCTTTTAGCTAGCTAATCTGATACCTTCAGCGATGGTGAGAGATCCTCCTACAGCATCTCGACAAAATTTGTCTACGCTCCCTAACCAGAGGTACGCAATGAGAAGAAGAGAGAGGTGAAAGGATTTCTCCAACCGTGCTCAGAAAATATGCAGCAACTACTGTAACAGGTTAATGCAACTGGGGTGAATAGTCCGTATTCCTCTGTTAGCACGAGGGGAACCTGTTTCTCCTGGATCGTATTCCAACTCCGAGGTATGAAATATGTTCCGTCAGGAAAAGATACTTGTGCTTATACTGGTTGCCCGCATCTCACTTCCAGGACAGGAAGTTATACTTGAAATCGCTTACAAGCAAGACAAAAAAAGTGCAAATATATATACATATA